TATTACAAAAATTACTTTCTATTTTCTAATAAATGCTTTCGTATTCGATACAAGTGGGTAGGATTTTATTAAAAAATGATAAAAACAGTTTGAGAAAGATATTTTTCAGTAAAATATATTGATACGTTCTATTTTATATTTAACAACGTTTTCCGATTAAATTAAATTAATTTTTTTAAATTTCACCTCTATAGTAAAAAAAATTTAATTATTAATTATTACACGTAGAAAAAAAATAAATCAGTGAAAATGCGTTATGGACAAATAAATAAAGTAAATGAGAAATTAATGTTTTTAAATTTCATAGAAATCTCGAATATATATTACTTTTCTCTTAATGAGCACGAGTGTTTTCTTATACAAAAATATAATGATAGAAATATCTGATTTTACCATAATTATATATTTTAAATTACAATAGGTGCGAATATTTTAATTAAATTACATTTTAATTTCACCACAATAAGATTAATTTTATAAATCGCATTAGTTTCTTTTTAATAATATTTTTCGAATTTATTCATATGAAAAGTATACGATATCATTAAACATATCTAAGGGAATAAGATATTTTTTACCTTCTTATGTTATATCATTAACAATTCTATCTATTATAATATTAATGATGGTTAAAAATAAAAAACATATTTATGGCAGCGTTCAATGTTATAAAATAGAATGACACAAACGAAAATATAAATTTTTAATGGTTTTTGACTTTAATGTAAGGTTAATCTTAATAATTTTTATGAAGAAAGTTTCATGCTAAAAACTCGAGACTCGCTGTTGCGTTTATAATTTTATCCGCTTCCACTAAGCCAATTCAACTTATAAATTGAAAGGATGTTTTTCTTCTTATTTTACAATATTTTAAAACTTCAATTATAACTTCAATTTTCTAATTAAAAACTGAATTTCAAAATGATAATTATTGATAAAATGAACTTTTGTGTACAATGACGAGTATATTTAATATTGTATTTATAAAAGTATTTCAGTTGAGCGCATGCACTTGATAAGGACGAAAAAAATTGTCAAAATTCCATTACAACGAAATAATAACATACATCTTATAAATTGACTCATTAAAACAATCGCCTAAGGCCAATGATGAGTAGTAAATATTCTAACAATCCACTATTCGTATTTGACACCATCATATAAAATTCGCTATTCTTAATCGTGACTTTGTGATTTCTATTCTGTCACATAAAATACATGGAATTACGTATATTTTTAATTAAAAAAAGACAAAAAAATTAAAAAAAAAAATATATATATATATATATATATGAACAGGGATGACGGAGCGTAGGTGAAACTGGCCTCGACTCATCTAACCATATCATGTATCGTGTTTTTTGTTCATTGTTATCTTTCGTTATAATAATTTTAGAGAAAGTACAGTAGCCTTAATAGTATCTCACAAATAAGTTGTTCTACTGTGTAAATTCGCAGGTTAAGATGTAAAAATTAAAAAATACTTCTTAGATTAAGTTTTAATGTGAATATGTTGTTTTCAATGGATTTAAGCGATTGCTGGTACTTTTACAATTTATATACAAATAACATATCAATGTAATTTAATCATTGACAATTTTACAAACTCCTTCGTGTGTATTCCATTAATACTACTTTAATTTACAATACTATTTCATAGAACGAATTTTTTTTTTTTTTAATATATTAAATAAACTTCTTTACATGTACGTCAATTTTGATTGAAATATATTTGGATTTTAATAAAATGTTAAGAAACTTTATAAAAGTCTACTTGAATACTGTTGTAATTTATAAATAAAAGCGTCATAAATACGCAATCTCAATAAAAAATACGTGTAATCGTTAAAAATGTAAAAAAAAAAAAAAAAAAAAAAAAAAATTTTAATTACATTGTATCGATGACATCTTAAATGCAATTGATGATATAAATTTCAAACAAGAAATCCTCCACTTCCACATAAAATAATTGTCCCTTAAAAAAAAAGGGAAAAAGAACAGGTTTAAGGAATTTCATGTCGATAATGACATCACAATAAATCACAATTTTTTCAACCACAGTAATGAAATATTTTTCCATCATTAAAGATAAAGAAAAACGAAAACATTAGTATTTCATAGAGTAGCAATAAAAAGACCAGTTCATGACTCTCGGCTCATAAAGCAAACTTGTTTTCAATGCTTTGATATTTTATTAATAAATATTGATATAATAAAAAATGTTGGAACCATATACGTGTCATTTGCACGATAAATCAAGGCAACGTATAGGTCTGTTGGTAATCCCGTAATACCAACGCAAAAACCTCTTAAACAAAATTCTTGTAAGCGCCATACCTCGGTCGGATAAATCTCACACCCCCGCGAGTTTCATTCAAGGGCGTTAATAAGATGGGTATCGCCGCGTAAGACGGCTGAGTTCACTTTATCCCAAGTACTGCCTTTGACGTTGGCATCCCAAAGATAGAGAGATAAAGATAGTGGAAGGAAGGAAGGAAGGAAAGAAGGAAAGAAGGAAAGAA